GGTAATTAAACTCTAGTTCAAAATTGTGCATATAAAAACTCAGTTTTCCACCACCACTAGTTGAAGAGACAGTATTTCCTCCAAAGTATTTATGTGCAGCTGTGCTGTAGTCAGCCAAGACAGGTTCTTGTTTTCTAAGACATAAATGAATTAATGATAGAAAACTCCACCAAGGTGAAATTAAGAAAGATTTATACAATTTCCCAGAAGTGAAAGTAAAGGCTGCTCTTAAACTGAGGAGTAAAGAGGAGTGCCTCAAGCAGCAGAATCCTGAAACCAGGTGCTTCCTGGGGAGCATGGGGTGCTTTTATTCCCTCTGCAGTGGTTTCCTACCTCCACAAGGCAGCTCTTTCTGGGCTAGTGCTGGCTGCTTCTTCCTCAGGACAGCTGTTCCTGGGCTGGGGCCAGCTATCTTTCTTAGAAGCAGTTCTTCCTGGTTCTGGTGATCTCTATCTCAGGGCCCCCCATTTGAGCCTTTCAGTATGATTTTGGCCTTTTTTTGTCAAAGATAACATGAGTGTAACTGGGATGTTTATTTGTAGGTGTTCTGTTCTACTGGTGTAAATGTTTGGTTTTTTGTTGTTGCTGGGTTTTTTTGCAAATGCCTGCTGTTTCTATTACTGTGGGCCCCTAGTACTATTCAGTCAAGTTTAGTGATACCTACAGCTTTGCTCTCCTGCTTTTTGGTGGCCTGAGGTTGGAACTTAGGGCCTCATGCTTGCTAGGCTGTCACTCTTACTACTTTAGCCAATCCATCACCTTTGTATTTGCAGTCCTTCACCTTGAGCTACTCCACCAGCCCATTTTTTTGTGATGGGGTTTTTTGAGATAGGGTCTCGTGAACAATTTGCCTTGGTCTGGCTTCAAAATGCGATCCTCCTGATCTCTACCTCCTGAGTAGCTCATTACAGGCATGACCCACCGGTGCCCAGCTCCGTCACCCTACTTTGACATAGGTTTCTCCAAGATAGGATCTCAGAAAGTATATGCCAGCCTCACTTCAAACTGCAATGATCCTGATTTGTGCCCTGAGTATCTAGGACTACAGGTATTACCTAGCAGTGCCCAATCATGGTACACTGGTTAGCATCCTTTTAGGGTAGGCTGCCATATACATTTACACCTACAAATTGGGTAACATGACCCATTCCTTTCTGATTTATATCCCATCATTGTTTTCTCTCATCTTTATGCTGTGGCTAGGAATTGAAGCAATGTATTTAAAAGTGGTTGATATAGGGTACAATTTTTCTTTGGAGGAATTCATGACTCATTTTTTTTGCCTGTTTTATCTTTTATTATTATTTTTCTGTCACATTATTTTTACTTTCATCTATTTGTTTAGTTTTTAGCCATTCTTAATGGGTTTTCTGTTTTATGGATGTTGACTACTGTTTGAACGTGGGACTTCATACTTGAAAATCAGGAATTCTACACTTGAGCCACACCTGCAATCCATTCAGCTTCTTTAGAGATGGGCTCTGAAACTATTGTCATCAAACCCCAATCCTACCAATCTCAGTTTCCCAAACACTTGTGTGTTGATCTGTGGCACAGAGAAGAGTCTGCGTCTGTGTTATGCTTTCACCCATGAATGTGTGAATGATCAGTAGCCTGACACTTGAAAAAATATTCATGGTATTACAGTATAAAAACTGGACTTGAAATAAAAACAGAAAACCTTTACATAACATAGAGAAGGAAGGAGGGAGAAAAGGAGAGACATGAAGAAACAATTTTCACCATCCATGAAAACCCATGTAGGAAAAATGCTCAATTGCAGAGGTAATCAGTAAAACACAGGATATAGTCATACAGAAATGTCCTGTGGCTCTACCTGGACAAAAGGAAATGGATTAGATCTTTGCCATAGCTGTCAAAACACATAATAAATACATCTAAATGTCAGGCAGACTGACTCAGGATGTAAGAAGGCACACATATCTGCTGTTTCCACATAGGACTAGAATTATAGCTTCTCTAGGTCTGAGATAGTGTTAGAATTCTGTCTCAATGCATAACCTCATATGTCATCTATTCTTTTGATTTTAAAAATATTTATATGTTAATCAAAATATAATGAATCATAATTGACAACATGATGCTTGGAAAATTGTATACATTACAAAGGGGTGAAATTAGGCTATTAACTGGATACACTGCTTTTCATACGTATAATTATTTCATTGTAATTAGAATACCTATATTGTAGTTGGGCAACTGAGGCCCACACTTGTCATACTAGCTTCTCAGGAGGCAGAGATTAGAAGGATCATGGTTCAAAGCCAGCTCAGGCACATATTCTGTATTGCTCATTAACAGCTTATAAACACTGTTGAGAGGTGGGAACATTTTTTTTTGGCAGTACTAGGTTTGATCTCAGGACCTCAGGCTTGCTAGGCAGGCACTCTTACCACCTGAATTGCTCCAACAGCCCTTGTATTGGGTGTTTGTGAGAAAATCTCTCTCATTATGTACCTGGACTGGCTTCAAACAGTGATTCTCTGATCTCTGCCTCCTGAGTACTTACGATTTCAGGTGTGAGGCACTGGCACCAAGCTTACAAGTGATATTTTGAACACTTTGACTAGTATTTCTTCAACTACTCATGTCTTTAAGTGTAAAATGATTTCTCATGAAATGAACACACTTGGTTCTTTTTTTCTAACTATCAGTTATTTAATTGGTGCATTAAAAAAATTCACACATTGTAGCTGTTCATTTTATTTGACGTACTGGGGTTTGAGATGAGGGCTTCATGCTTGCTAAGCAGGTGTCCACCATTTGAACCATGATTCCAACCCTTCTAGTGGTTTTTATTGAAACAATTGGTGGCTGATATTTACTGTGAGACCCTGGTAGGGCTTTCGGAGGTGAAACTCTGATATGTACGATGTCCTCTAAACCTGAATCTCTTCTAGAATTTACCTCTCAAACTACTGGATACTTAGACTTCAGCAGTTCATCAGCTGAAGTTCAAGTTGTCCTTTCTTTGTTCTCTTTATGAGTTTTTATTCCAGGAAACTATGATTCCCTGAGTTGATCTCTTTATCTTGCCAGTTTGGGGACAGTTGTTTGCCTGCTGAACTTAATTGTTCAGGGCTTTTGTTTAAGTACCCCATGTATTTCTGCATTGTCATTTTATATAATTCAGCATTTTATAGGATTCCCTTGCCTCAATTCCTAAACGGTTTTAACTATTCCCAAGTGGTAGCAGTGTACATCTACAGCTATTCAAAATTCAGGTTTAGATACCACTTTGCTGTATCTGCAGCAGGGTAGAGACCATAGAATATTCCCAACTCCTCTTCCCATCCCCTGCCCCCATTCAAAATCATACACTGGTTTTGTGTATGGTGTTATATCTTTAGTAAGTTATGTTTTGGTCATTTCTCAATATAATTCCATTCATATAGATTTCTCTGTAAGATAATACTTTTCTTGGTATGGAGTTCAAACTCAGGGCTTCCACATTGCAAAACAGGCTACAGCCACACCTCCAGTGCATTTTGCTCTGGTTATATTGGAGATGGGGTATGGCAAATAATTTGTTTAGGCTGGCTTCAAAACTCTACTCTTAGATCTCAGCCTCTCAAGTACCTAGTAGTACAAGAGTGAGCCACTGGTGCCTGGCTAACTAATACTTTCACATTGCATTTTTTTGCAGGTACTTTTATTCTACCTTGTTGTCTTTTACCTCCAGTAATTTTAATACATTTCATTTCTCCATCCACTTCTTATCCTTATTTTTTTCTAAGGAAGATATTATTATATCCAAAATTGATTTGACAGTGCCTTCTCAATTTGTCTTAAATTGTATCTTTCCCATACCAACTTATAATGTGTCTAAGCATCATGAGATAGATGAGAACACAATGCATGTGCCCTTGTAAGAACTACTTCATCCTCGCATTGTCTGTTCTTGAAATTTGTGAGGCTGGTGGCTCATGCATGTAATCTCTAGCACTTGGTATGGCTACCCACAAAACCTGAGGAACTGAATTCAAACCCAGTGCCATCAAAAAAAATTCAACTCCCAACACATCCTACAAGCTAAGAATGAGCAACACCAAATATGTGCCTAAGAAGCACAATCCCATACTAGGGTAAGAATGGAAACTTGTGTTGGCCTTCTGGTTCTTTCCTTGCTTAGGGGGACATCTCAAAAGCTGCATGGCTACTTCCCAACTGCCACATCTCTCTTTCCAGTGACAGAGGGTTAAAGAGCACGGTGGTGTGGAAGAGAACAAAAGAAAGGACATGCTGAACTTCAATCACTGAGCAGGACTGGGCAGTCATGAGTAATTAAGCCAAAATTATACCTGTGGGAATTTTTTTGGGTGAGACTAGGATTTAAACTGAGATCCTCAAGTTTCTTAGGCAGGCCCTCTACCCTCTACCAGCTGAGCAACTAGGCCAGCATTTTTTGTAAGGGAATTTGAGACTACATCGCATATCAATTATAAATATATTTTAATTAGTGATTTGAATACACAACAAACTAGTATTTGCCATTTCTGTTCTGATGTCATCTGTGGAAGTAAAAATATTACTGTATATTTTTGGGGGGTGGGGCAGCACTGGGGCTTGAACTCAGGGCCTTCACACTTGTCAGGCTGGCAGTTACCACATGATCCACTCTGCTAGCCTTAGAAAGCATATTATACAAGCTCAAAAAGTGAGTTCTAAGCCCAGAAACAGATTAGGTGTTCCATGTCCAGCAAGGAACCAGTGCTAACTCAATGACTTGCATGACAAACTTGTGCAACTAAGTGACTGCCCATGCAAGGGATTGCCTCTCCTTATTTTGTTTCTACATTACATGACTGTGACTTGGTTCATGTCTTTCAAGGACACTTGACAGAAGTAGGTTTTCCCATACTGGTAACATACACAGGTTTTGTCCCAAGGTGAGTTTCTGTATGTCTTCAAAGATCACTGGAAGAATAAAAGGGTTTCTGATATTGTTTACATTCATAAGGATTCACTGCAGTGTGAATTCATTCATGTGTTTTGAAGTACCTGGATGAAGTAAAAGCTGTCCCACATTGTTTAAATGCAAAGGTCTTTTCTCCAATGTGAATTCCTTCATGTAATTTCAGGTACCTAGAAGTTGTAAAAGCTTTTCCACATTACTTACATACATAGGTTTTCTCACTACAGTGAATCTGTTCATGTGATCTAAGGCCACTGGACCAATAGAACGCTTTCCCACATTGTTTACATTCATAAGATTTCATTCCAGTGTGAATTTGTTCATGTTTTCTGAGGTAATTGGCTGACCTAAAGGTTTTTCCACATTGTTTACATGCAAAGGGCTTCTATCCAGTGTGAGTTCTTTCATGTGTTTTCAGGTAATTGGAACAACTAAAAGCTTTTCCACACTGCTCACATACATAGGGTTTTTCACTACTGTGAGTTTCTACATGACGTTGAAGTTTACTGGACCAATGGAAGGCTTTTCCACACTGTTTACATGCATAAGCTTTTGGTCCTGTGTGAATAATTTCATGTTTTTTGAGGTAACTGGATAACCTAAAGGTTTTTCCACACTTCTTACATGCAAAGTTCTTCTCTCCAGTGTGAATTAGCCCATGTGTTTTGAGGTAACTGGAACAAATAAAAGCTTTTCCACATTGCTCACATACATAGGATTTCTCACCACAGTGACTTCGTTCATGTATTCTAAAGTCACTGGACCAACAGAAGGCTTTCCCACATTTTTTACATGCATAAGGTTTTGCTCCAGTGTGAATTCTTTCATGTGCTTTGAGGTAACTGGAAGAACTAAAAGCTTTCCCACACTGCTCACATACATATGGCTTCTCACCACTGTGAGTTTTTATGTGTATTTGAAGTTTACTGGACCAATAGAAGACTTTCCCACACTGTTTACATGCATAAGGTTTTGCTCCGGTATGAATTTTTTCATGTGCTTTGAGGGAACTGGGAGAACTAAAAGCTTTGCCACACTGCTCACATACATAGGGTTTCTCACCACTGTGAGTTTTTATGTGTATTTGAAGTTTACTGGACCAATAGTAGGCTTTTCCACATTCTTTACATGCATAAGGTTTTGCTCCAGTGTGAATTCTTTCATGTGCTTTGAGGGACCTGGAAGATCTAAAAGCTTTGCCACACTGCTCACATACATAGGGTTTCTCACCACTGTGAGTATTTATGTGTGTTTGAAGTTCACTGAACCAAAAGAAGGCTTTCCCACATTCTTTACATTCATAAGGTTTTGCTCCAGTGTGAATTCTTTCATGTGCTTTGAGGTACCTGGAAGAACTAAAAGCTTTGCCACACTGCTTACATGCAAAGGGCTTCTCTCCAGTGTGAGTGTTTTCATGTCTTCTGAGGTTCCTGGAAGAACTAAAAGCTTTTCCACACTGCTCACATGCATAGGGTTTCTCACCACTGTGAGTTTTTACATGTCTTCGAAGCTCACTGGACAAATCGAAGGCTTTGCCACATTCCTTACATGCATGTTTTGCTCCAATTTGAAGTCGTTCATGTTTTTTGAAGTTCATCCAGGTAGATGAACTAAAGGTTTTTCCACACTGCTTCCATGTAAAGGGCTTCACTCCAGTGTAAAAACATTCATGTTTTTTCAGGTAACTGGAAGAGCTAAAGGCTTTTCCACATTGCTTGCAAACATAGAGTTTCTCTGTAATGGAATTTTGTTCATGGTTTTCAATGGCACACAAATGTGGCATGGGTTTACCACATTGCTTACAAACATATGGTTTTTCTCCACCATGAGTCAATTCATGTTTGCAAATGTCACTAAAATGAAAGGAGACTTTTTCACCTTGCTTACATAGAAAGGATGTCTCTCCAGGGTGACTTCTTTCATGCCCTTTAAGAAATCTGGAAACAGGAAAGGTTTTTCCAGAATCCTTCCATGATACTTCCTGATACTCATGTGGCTCAGATCCACTCTGAGTTCTGACAGACAGACTCAGGGATGGATGCCCGATGAAGACTTCTGTACACACACAGTTTTCTTTTGTTCCCGCTCCAGCAGGAGTATTATTATTCATGATATGTTCTGGAGTATGCCCGAAGACTTCACACTGAATACCTTCTTTCTGTTCACAGAATCTCCCTACCACTTGACCTCTAGAAATAATGAGAAACACATTACTAAGCTATATTTTCAAATACACACCAGGAGGAGTAAAGATTTTCTGCCCTGAAAGAATTTTTGACCATGCAGTATGGTTCCAGGAGATATATTATCAGACCACTGGCATTGACTATCTACTTTACATTTAAATGCTTTTGAGTACTGTACATGGAAAAGCTATGAGCAAAATCATATTTTGAAGAACTTGCATGATCCTAAGAAGCTATATCGAAGATCATAGACACCAATCCAAACACAGAATTCATTTTCTGCAAAGGCACCATATATTCACACCCTGAAAGAAAGTTCATATAATCATATTTTCCACAATTTATTGAATGAACGGTATCGTACGTAAAAACTGCAGATTATCACTGGGGCACCATGGTGGTAATACACATTTCTGGTATTGGAAAATTTTGGTTTGGAATTTCCTGGGTTTTGTGTGTGTGTGTGTGTGTGTAATACTGGTGTTTGAACTGAAGGACTTACAGTGGCTGGACAGGCACTTTACAACCTGTACCAGTTGGCAGCCCATTAGTATGTTAGGGATTTTTGAGTTAGGGTTTCAGGAATTATTTCAAAGAGAATGGTTTCAAATTTCCATCATCCTGATCTATGCGTCCCAAGTACCTGTGATTACAGGTATGATACACCAGCATGTTGGCTCATGGTGGTGCAACTACAACAAAAAAAAACCCACTTGTTTTGGTTTTAGTTAAGGATAAGGTTTGAACGCAAGGCATACTGCTTGAAAAGCAACCCTCACACTGGCTAGGTTAGCACTACACTGCTTCACTTGAGAAAGTCTACCAGCACACATCATTTTCTTTTTGACAAATTTAATTCTGGTTGTCAGAATGACTCAAGTGGTAGAGCACCTGTGTAGCAAGCTGGAGACCCAGGGTTTAATCCTGAGCACCAAGGAAAAAAAAATGCAATTTCTCCCTGACTCTTTCATCTTTTCTTATACATTGTGGTTTGAACTTGGTGCTTCACACCTGCAATGCATGCACTCTATCAGTTGGGACACACCTATAGTCCTCTTTGTTTAAGTGACACTTCCTGTTCCCTCTCATTTTTTTTGAATATTTTTAGTGCCATATGGTATTTATAAGTGGGATTTCATTGTGAGATTTCCATATATACATACATTATATCCCAGTTTGTTTCATCCCCTCTTTCATGGTTCTTCCTGACCCATTCCCACCTTAAAATAACTTAAATAGGTTTCACAGTTCCATATAAATGCATGTGCAGAAAGTACATCAAACATTATGGGGGAGTAGCTAGCTCCTGTAATCCTGGCTACTAGGGAGAATGAGACTTAGAAGATCCAGGTTCAAGTTATATGAGGGCAAATATTTCTCAAGACCCCAAGTCCAAAAAACCCAGAGCAAAACACACTGGAGGTATGCTGCAAGTGTTAGAATGCTTGCCTTGCCAGTTCCAAGGGCAGAATACAAACCACAACTCCTTCCCCTCAGCCCTGCCAATAAAGGCAAATCAACCATACCCTTTTGACCCTCTTCATTTACCCTCTCCGCTCTCACTACTGACCTCCTCTTCACATAACCTGTTTCATATCCCTTTCCTTCAGGGTCTAAGTTGCTTTCTATTGTGAGTGCAAATTACCTTAGATTTCTTCTGGAATTTCTGTAAACCTCTTCATTGGTCTGATCTTCCTCTGTTTTGGTTTGTTTTTTTAAATAAAATAGAGATAGAAAAATAAGACTTTTTGAATAACATTACTATAGAATAACTACTGGATTCTAAGTAGGCTTATGGTATAATGTGCCAACATCTGGTATATTCACTGAATTTATAGTTTGCACCTTCCAAATTATTCTAAAGCATTGAAGAGCAACAAACACTGGTTCTCTCATTGACTTAGGGAATTATGTCATCCTTACCAACAGAGGCCAGGTTCCTGAAGGTTTCTACCATCACATCCCTGTACAGCTTCTGTTGTGAAGGATCCAGCAAAGCCCACTCTTCTTGGGTGAACTTGACACAGACGTCATCAAAGGTCACAGATGCCTAAAACATGACAAGTGTATTTCAAGGAGGAAGATCAGAATGACAGTACTGAAGGTATAGACTTCCACTGTTCACATAATCCTGTGTTGTCAAAGTGTTCGTTCCATGTCTTGGGGATTAAACATTTGCCCTTCATGCAAACCCACACTCTTTCACATAGCACTTTTAATACTAGCCTGAAAATACTTGTGAAAGCAACAGCAGTAGCAGAACAAACTGAATATTCCTGAACCACACCAATTTCTTATTTAAGAGTGGGTCTATAATTTCTGTCATAATGATGAACTGCAATTCAGCTTGCACAAGACAATTAACATCACTAGGGCTGGTAAGCATGCCCTGATTCAAGCCACACTCCCACAAGTAAAAACAAAAGAAAAAACAAAATAAACAAAAACCACTTGTCCTGAGACTATGTATTCTCAGCAATGTTTGAACACAAAGTTCAACTGTGCCTGGAACTTTGGTGGCATTCACCTCATCATGTAAAATGAAAGAGGAACTGAGTGTTTCCAAACAGAATCCATGATCAACATTAATTTATTTTTCCAGTACTAGAGTTTGAACTCATACCCTATAACTTGAGCCAATCCACCAGTCATTTTTTTGTGAAGGGTTTTCCATGACAGGGTCTCATGAACTATTTGACAAGCTGGTTTTGAATCACGATCCCCCTAATCTCTGCCTCCATTTTTTGGTGGTATCAGGATTTGGATATAGGTCTTCTTCCTTGCAAAATAGCCTCTCTACCACTTGACTCATACCTCCAGTCCGTTTAGCTCTGCTAAAATTGCAGTTGGGGGGTCTGTTAAACTATTTGGCCTGGCTGCTTGGAAACAGAAGCCTCCCAATGTGAAACTCCTATGTAGCCAGGATTAAAGGGATGGGCCATTGTTTCCCAGCAGCCTATCTTGTCAAGCACTGTAATCTCCCTTTCTCAATCCAACTTAGCCTCTCTTATGTTGTTCACTTTAAATTATTCATTTGAAACTGTCTTCCAGAATTCACTCATGTTGTGGGTGGAGGATAATGTTTTGATTCTCTTTTCCCTACCTCTCACACACTACACGTTCGAGAACACATGTAGAACATTCTAAACTGACTGTAAATTTCAGGAATCTCAACACAACACTTTGAAATCCACAGTTCAAACAGGCTGTGAAAATTAAAGCTAACCTCATTGCAAGAGGGAATATCATTATTTGAGGAGTAACAACTCATAAAACTAAGGATTTTATGTACTATTCAGAAGAATTTCTTTCTTATGAACGAAGTCTTCAAGAAAGCAATAAAGCTAATTGAAGTGTGAGTAATGACACTTCCTCAGGAAGGGACATTTAAGCTGAGTCCCAAAATAATGTATTAATTTACACAGGAAGGGGATAAGATACAGAACACATGGGCTAATAATGAGTATGTTGGATTTATTCCCCCTAAGAGAAAATTTCACTCCTAACCCCTGCTCATGTGGGTATTTCAAGACTCAGGAGTCTACTGAAGGGTTGTCATTTTCAGAAGAAGGATTGGATAGTAAGTTGTAATTAATTGTAGTCAGTTTCAAGTCAGCACAGGACCAATGACAGAATGCTGCACTTTCTTTAAAAAAACCAATTATATGAGTTTGAGAAACCACTTGGATGCAAAGGGTAGATTTCAGGGTGAGGCAAAAGAGTCAGTTTGGCAGATACTGTGCAGCTCTCCATGAATGTGACTGTTTCAGGGGGGCATTCTTGTTGCATTCCCTCCACTGTATCCAGGTTCCTGTCCTCCATCTGATGTGCTTTTCAAGGAACTGAAGGTAACAGTCATGACTTTCGCATTTACTTTTCTTTCCCCCTTCCATTAACAAGACAATGAATACTAGTTCATGCAACCTTAACCAAAGAATGGGGAACATGATAACGTCAATATGAACACACAGAGAAAGGGTCCCTAATTTTCATTTCCCACTGTTTCACTGCACAAAAATATTCCACTCAGTGAACAACATAAAAAGCAACCCAGTAACTGGTAAATCCAGTAAAACAGGTAATCCTAAAGGGAAAGTAAGAAGATAATGTGACGGAAAGGGGCCAGGGAGAAGGTGTATGTTTTTCAAACTATGCCCCAAGTAGGCACTACCTTCCAGAGTTGAAACACCTCCTAGGAGACTATATTAAAGTTGACTCCATCAATGTATTTGGGCCATTTCTCACCTTCATTTTTTGTGTTTCTGTGTGGTGCTGGAGACTGGAACCAGGGTGTTGTGCTTGCTAAGCAAATACTCAACCATTAAGCCACACATACCTAGCCTGTCAAGTGCTTTTATTGTTGTTCTTTTTTCTCTTTTTAAACATATTACTGCCCCAAATCACAACTTGGTTTATCAACATAAAATATGCAAAAGAATATGTGAATGAAGCCCATTAAAAAACTTCATTCCAGGCACGCATCCCAGCATATGGGAGGCAAAAGAGGGATTGTGAGTTCACTCACATCCTGGGCTACTTAGGGTAACTCCACATCAAAAAAGAAAAAAATCACCAGTCTTGCTTCATTTCCTGGGTTGGGACAGGAAATATTTCTCTTTCTTTCACTAGATAAAACCCTTGTCTATACTTCAAACTGTCATACTAAAATAAATAAATAAGGAAAGAAATCAACAACAAAATACAGCTATGCACAGCAGGTGCCGAGAATGTATTTGGTCTATTTGGATAATACACCCAAATGGAAAACCTAAACTTCATAGTCTCAAAGAATATGGGAAATTATTTTACATTTGTTGCCTAAAGGATTCAGGTATGACCAAAATGCAGGATGCATCAAAGATTTAGATGCCACAGGTTGCTGGCTCTGGTGAACCATGCCTGCTTTCGTACCTCACAGGAACAGAGATCAGGAGGAACTATGTCGACAGACCCTACATCAAAAGTACCCAACACAGGAGTGGTGGAATAGCTTAAGTGGAAAGAGTGGCTGCCTAGCAAGCAGGAGCACTTGAGTTCAAAACCCAGGACTCCATCACTATGTGACATATCCTGAGGCAACCTCAAAGCAGAAGTCACAGCAGAACCTCTCAGCCTGGTATGGCTAGGAAGCGCTGTTTGCTGAGTGATCGAAACACATTAGGCTTGCCAAAGGACTAAACATGACTTTGGTTAGAGATTTTTACATCTTTCCTTGCAAGAGGAAAATAAAAAACATGAAAAAAATCACTCGTTCAATTTTCAAATTCATATTTGATGGATGTAATATTTTCACATGTCTACAAGATTACCCCAGTTTTCAGCCACCTGCAAACAATGCCTCTTTGTGCACAATGTTAAACAGTGCAGTGTCAGCCTACAGAAATAGAAGCCAGTCTTGTGGAAGGTTGCTCTTTTGGAAGAAAGGAACACTTCTGGTCTATAAATATTCTGAAATTTCTGTTTTCTCACACAAAGCCTTATAATTGAATGACTCTACAAGAGAATGCAACGATATTTGATTTTCTGAGTCATAAAAAAATGACCTCCTATTTTCTGTTAGTTTTTCAATAACTTTTTGATTCTGGGGAAAAAAAAGGAAAGTAATCTTGAATACAATACTTGAGAAAAATGCACACATAATGTTCAAAGGACTGAAAACTTCAATTTGGCCAGGTACACTGGTGTCACATGTGTGTAACCCTAGTGACTCAGGAGTCACACATCAGGAGAGGAGCAGTTTGAAGCCAGACCTGGAAAATACTTCATGAGACCTTACCTGAAAAATCCCATCACACAAAAGGACTGGGACAGTGTCTCAAGAAGCGAGAGCACTTGCCTAGCAAAAATGAGGACCTCAGTTCAAAACAACTACAAAAAATACAAACAATACAAAACAAAACAAGAAAACCAGAAAGAAAGAAGAAAAAACACTTTAATTGGAGAGGAAGACAGACATCAGGAGGATCAGGGTGGGAAGCCAATCCAGGGAAACAGTTTGCACAATAGTATCTCAAAAGTCCCCACAAAAACCACTTGATGCAGTGTCTGAAGGATTACAGGGACTGAAAAGGAAGAACCAGGCCTTGACTTTAAGCCCCAGTCCCACAGGGAGAAAAAAACAATTGCTTCTCAGTGAAGTGAGTGCATCCCCATCTGACATCAGATGTTTGTACTTGTGTTCTTGTAGACTACTATGAATGAAAAACTAGACAGTACTGAGGAAGGATAATTCAGCATGCACATAAATCAAAATTATACCCTTTACTTGTGAATATAAACAGGTAAAAGAAGGAAAGGGATGGCACATATCCTTAGAAAGAGCTCACTGTCACCAGATTTGTGGGATAAAAAGACATATAAAATTCTACAATTTCAGTCTGGAGTCAGTGACTCATGTCTGTATTTTAGCTACTCAGGAAACAGAGATCAGGAGGCTTTTGGCTGGAAGCCAACCCGGGCAAAGAGTTTGCAAACCCCTATCTGGAAAAAAGCCATCATGAGAAAAGGGCTAGGAAAGTGTGTCAGGTAGGAAGAGATCCTGCCTAGGAAACATAAGACCCTGAGTTCAAACCCTGGTACCAACAACAACAAAAACAGTATATAATTTCCAAATCACAGCTTTAAACAGTCCAAAAAACCTTAGATGTCCTAGTTACATCAAATTCCTAAAAACATTGAAGAGTTTTTGACTAAGAAAGCTATAGATTGTATAATATTATATAAGAGTTTCTTAGTTCAGCAAGAAGCAACACAAAACAAATAAGGATTAAAAACATGGGAAAATGAATGTACATATTTGAAAGGAACAAATAAACATGTCAATGGTCAAAAGTGACAACACTGTATAAGAAGACAAACAATCAAATATGGTTAGCTGTGCTGATAGTAAAAAAACAATTAGCCCAATTCTTTTTGTTTCTTACTTTCTGCATACCTGGGATCTCTGACCCACCCTTGGCCGGAGCCCACACACCATTTCTCCTGTACCATCACCTTTAGGACAGACTGACTTCAGGGGATGTTCTATGATCCCAGAATTGATTTTGTTCCCTCCATCATGTCCTCCCCACACACAGACTATTTTTGAATCCTGTTAGCTCCTCCCTAGAATGAACAGCCCATTCACCCTCACCTCAGAGGAGCTAAGGGACCTAACACCCTGCCTTTCCACCTGAGAGTCTTAGGCAATGTCGGCTCAGAAGAGGCAGCTGCCACAGCTGCCAAGAACACAACCTTGACATGCAGGTTCAGGCAAAGCAGTTTTGACAGAAAAAAACCACAACTGGCTGCAAAATCCAGAAGAGACAGACAATAAACTGAGAGTGACCTCGAATCTTCTTTACATGCTTCCTTGCCCTGCTTTGAACCTCTCTGTGACACATTCTGTCACCCAATAATGTGAATTTCCTGCTCTGTTGCTTTTGACTCAGTTCTAAAGTCTGTACAAAGATGAGGCTCAGAGCTCATGAGGATGTAATTACAGTTGTGATTTTTATGTAGGGCTTCCTCACAAATCGTTGCGGTGCTTCCAAAGGGACCTTATAAGGCAGTGTCCTCCCGAGATTTGGCTTGCTTTTAATGATCCTCGCTGGGGACACCCCAGTGTCCCCTAAGTTCTTTCTTCTGTCACACACAAAACTGCCATACCCCATTCAAATATTGTCCTTTTCCTAGAAGCCAGAAAGAGAAGCCATCACCCAGCCAACGTACCAGCTCAGATTTCTCCTGCCAAATATCCTCCTCCATCACTTGGAAGTTCTCCACTCCATGAAGTTCTGGGACACAAAAATCATTCAGCCAAATTCTTTGCCTCATGGTAACAAGGATGGCAATTCCGTCCCAGTTGACAAAAGACCTCCTCACTTTTGAGGTCTCCTGGGAGCGGCCTATGCTGTCTGTGTCTCCACCAACCTTCTACTCAAAGCCACTTATGTGCGAGGACTCAGGCTTCCTGACAGCTGTTCTCCCCAGGCCCGCATCAGAACTGCCCTTCCCGGTTCAGTCAGAGAAAAACGCTTCTCCCAGTCCCGGCTCTGGCCTAGCCCCACCCTGCGGCCCAGAGGAGCGAGGACGAGCAGAGCCGGGGGAGGACGCACAGCACACAGGGGCCACCGCAGCATCTGGCCCGTCCCCGCCGCGGCTCTGCCACCCCGGCTGAAATCTCACCATTTCCCGAGACACCCGGCGTCGTCCTTAGGCTCCTGCAGTCAGGGGACACAGAGCGGCCAAGGCTGGGAAACCTGGGGCTTCTCCCGGTTTACACGCTGCGATTAACTATGGCGGCCTCTAAAAGGAAGGTCGTGCTTTGGGCAGCAGGTACGTCCTAAGATCCGCGCTCCTCATTGGACAGTTCTTACGCACTCCATTCTGATTGGATAATGATCCAGGCCCCGCCCCTTGACGACGGGGTGAGAGGAGGGCGTTTTCTGCCAGGTTCTAGAACACAGAGGACAAATTCCTCCCACCGCTCCCCGCGGTCTAGGCTTCCTCCCCTTGGGCGAACCTGGCCCAGCCTTGGCTCTAAGTGTGTTGAGCAGAACCAGTCCCGACTTTCCAGACCAGACACCTGCTTCTCCCCACGCCTCCTGAACATCTTACGCTGTGCTTGCAAATCGGTACTTTTATCAAGTTTCCTCTCGCTCCCGTGTAGCTGTGGTTTCCACTTGAGTGGAGACTTGTGTTAGTGTCCATCACTTCTTCATGGAGGTTTCACTGCGCTATGATCAGAGGAGCACAGAATGTGCTTTCACCTCTCTCACTCCCTCTACTCCTCCTCACCATCCCTCCCTTCTCCCCCATTTTAGAATGAATGTGCTTCATTTTGCTGTTTTTATGAATACATATAATGACTTGTTCATATTCTCCTGTCATCAAATTCCTCTTTCTCTGCACCTTTCCCAATATTTTCCACCCCAAACTGGCCCTCCTGTAAAAATTCTAGAAAATAAGCATGATATAAACCTGCACCCAGCCTTGGAGGCTCAGGGCTGTAACCCTAGGTACTCAGGATGCAGAGATCAGGAGGGTAGTGGTTGCAAACCAGCATGGGCAAATAGTTCACTGACCCTATCTCCAAAAAACCCATCACAAATGGCTCGAGGTATGGGCCCTGGGCCCTGGGTTGAAACCCAGGTACTGGAAAAATTTTTAAAAGTGTGACATTTATTTGTCTCTGTATCTGGTTTATGTTGCTTAACATGATGAAGCTGGGTCCATCCATTTTTCCTGAAAATTACCTAATTGCATTCAAAAGACAAATGTCTCATAAGGATCAAAAAATTTAAAAAATAAACACAAGAAAAAGTTGCTAATAAGTAAGGTTCAAATTGATTTGATCTCAGAAACTTTTCTCCAAAAATGCATTCAGGTAGATCAACTATAATCAGAAAATCAAAAAATCCTAAATGTTCCAATATTAGAAGCATCTGGAACACCAACATCACACCACAAGCGACAATTGCTGATGGTATAAGGAAGGAACTTTATTCCATGCACAGATTATTTAAAATGTATCAAATTATGTTCAGACTTTGTGATTAAGGAGTAGGCAAAAAATGAATTTTGTGTTCAGATTTGAATCTATTATCAAGCTATCTCATTATGTACCTGAGTGTATCTCAACATACAAATTCTTTTGATCCCAGCTGTCTTCATGGAGAATCTCATCTACACTTACATGTGAATTAGCTAGTTAGTATTAACAAAATGCTGGGAACCATAATTTAAGATTCCCCATAACACCACCACTGCTTTGATGACATCAATGCTTTTGCCATCTTGTAGAGCATAGAGTTGTTCCATGTGGTAAAGTTCTAATAGGGCATAAACCAATCCTTCTCCTGGTAAGTCATTAATCAACAAAGGCTTAGTAATATCCTTTTCCTTATTTCCAGAAGTCAAGTTGTAAGGCGACTCTGTGAACATAAAGATGTTCAACATCAAGACATCTTGAGCCATACCTTAGAGCACACCATGAATGACAAAACTCCTACTGGAGAGGAACCACGTGAAAGTCATCAGTCCTTCATCCCTAAATGTGCCATTCAGAACTCACACTGGCAACAATCATGTGAGTATGAGGAATATGGAGAAAAGCCATATAAATGTAAGGAATGTGGAAAAGCCTCCAGTTTTCCACATTTTCAGAAAAATAATAAGACTAACAGTAGAGAGAGAGAATCCATAAATGACCTTCAGTTATTCCCTTTCCCCTCAAATACATGAAAACTCTCACATTGAAGAGAAATCCTTTGTATGGAAGCAATGTGGGAAGTCTTTAGTTCTTCTGGTTACCTTACAATACATGAAAGGATTCACACTGGACAGAAGCCCTATATATGTCAGCAAAGCTAGAAAGCCTTCTTTTGAGTAATGTTTGAAATCATAGATGAATTCCCTGTGGAAAGAAACCCTTTCCATCTAGAGAATGCAAGAAAGCCTTCCTGTGTTCTAGTTCCCTGCACAAACAAAATAACTCACACTGGGCTGGCCAAGTGGCTCAAGTGGTAGATCACCTGTCTAGGAAGCATGAAGCCCTGAGTACAAACCATAGAATAGCCAAAAACAAAAACAAAACCAAAAGAAAACCCTCATGCTGTAGAGAAACCTTTGTAAGTAATGTGGAAAAATCTTTATTTTTAAGTAATCATCAAAAACATGAATGAATGCATAGTGGAGTGAAACCCTTTGTATGTAAGAAATGTGGGAGAGCCTTCAGTGATCTAGTTCCCTTCACAAACACAAAATATCTCACAAAGGAGAGAAGCCTTACAAGTGCAAACAATGTGGAAAAGCCTTCTTTCTGTTGGGTGACATTCAAAGACATTCATGAACTCACAGGGGAGACAAACCCTTTGCATGTAAGCAATGTGGAAAAGCCTTCAATTGTTCCAGTTTCATCAAAATTCATGGAAGAACTCACTCTTGAGGGAAATCTTATGTGTTGGCTGTGTGGAAAAGGCTTACATCGATGCTCCACGACATGCATGAACTCACAGTGAAGAGAAAACCCTGTTGTTTGAGTGACTTGCAAAGAAATTAACAATTACTGAGCAGAAACCCTATGTTTTGGCTTGAATATGAAATGTCACCCACAGGCTCATGTCGAATGCTCAATCTCCAGTTGGTGCCAGTGTTTTGGAAAGTTTAGAAATGTTCAGAAATAGGGCTTCAGAGATCAAAGGAGTTCATGTCTCTGAGGACATTGATTGCAAACTACAACACTGTGACCAAAAAAAAAAAAAAAACCCTACCGACACACATGCAGGAGCTACCGATGACCGCCATCACTAAGCTGTTGGGGACACGTGGGGTTGATCTGCCTACAGGGCTCAGTGGACACTCACATCACAAATGGGACAATTGCTTGTCTGGTTCTGGTGCAGTCCCACCGTGGAGACCAGAGCACCAATGGCCAAGAGGAGCCTGTGGTAGAAGCAGACCCGCGTGGCCAGTGTTCAAAACTCAGTACTGGAAAAACAAAGCTTCTGTGACTATAAACCAGCTGAGTACTAATTTGGCAATAGAGGAGTGAATACTTTTTCCTCCAGCTTACTAGGGGTGTTCAGGTTACATTGCTTGGCACATAGGCCCGGGAAAGCTAGAACAGGATCTCATAGTAGCATAGAAGTTCTACTTTTAGTTTCTTGAAGAGCCTCATCATGATTTCATAGTGGCTGCACTAATTTATATCCCAGCCACAGTGTGAAAGGATTGCATTTCCACACATCCTCGCCAGCATTTGTTGTTTCCTTGATCATCGCCATTCTGACTGGTGTTTAATGGAATCTCAATGTCCTTTTGATTTGCATTTCCTTAGGGGTAACTTTGTTCATGCCTTCATTGCCCATTTATGTCTCTTCATTTGAGGACTCTTTTCAGTTCATTTACACATTTTTTAATTGGATTATTTGTCCTTTGCTATTTAATTTTTTACTTCCATGTATATTCTGGATATTAATTCCTTGTCAGATGAATTTTGATCCATTCCTTATATTGCTTCTTTCCTCTAAAGAAGCTTTTCAATCCCATTTGTCAATTCTTGCTCTTATTACCCTAGCTTTTTAAATCCTATTCAGAATGTTGTTGGCTGTGCCCATAATTTCAAGGGTTTTTCCTATGTTTTCCTGTGGTACATTCAAAATTTCCAGGTTTCCATTAATTCCTTGAGGCATTTCTTTTACTATTCAGCAGATTTTATTAAGGACTCTAGGATAACAAGGAAGCACACAATATCATATAAAACAACATGAATAATAGCTCTTGAGTGCTATGTCTCCCTTGTGTATTTTAAGACAAAAGAGATACCTTTCCCAGATTTAATTCTGTCTGCTTCATCAAACCTTTTCCCTCTGCACCTATGAGGAACAGCATCATTTCTCTATACAACACTTTCCTCACTGTGTTTTGTTTTAAAATAATCTCAGTTGTGTTTTTTTCTTATATTGTCATGCTGTCATTTGAAATCAGAGCCTTGTGTTTCCTTGGAGAGTTCACTCACTGCTTTGACCGCATAGACACAAAACAATGACTTTTTTTGATTTTTGCACATGGGCTTGAACTCAGGGCCTACACTTCCTGTTCCAATTTCAGAATCTGCCCCTTTAGATATTGATTAAAATACTACAATTTCCCTGTCTCTTCATCTGTCTATCTTGCCTCATTTGCATTTTTCATTTTTTGAGGAAGCTCTATAGTGATTTCCATTGTACTCCAATAATTTACATTCCCAGCAACATCACCTAATCCAAAATTCAAAATGTAGGTGGGCACCAGTGGCACAAACCTGTAATCCTAGCTACTCAGGATGGAGAGAT